TTATAGGAAAGGGGAAGATACTTTTCATTTTATCACAATGGGACATCATTTTATGTCTAAATAATTAAAATATATGGACAGGCCTGATAATATAGACTTCAGTTAAAAGGCTGCAAAACCAGACTTGATTATTAACTTATTAATAATCCTAAGAGGGAAATATATCCAAGTTCCACTGGGATAAACTCAGGTGAAAGTAATTTGACTTCACTAAGTGATTTAACTTCAAAATTACTGAATTTGGTCCCTGACTATTTACTCTTTTTTGTATTCTTCATTGCAATATGAAGTATTAATTCCATTCAAATAAATAGGATTGGGCATAATTCACTATTTAGCCATGAGGAAGAAAAAGTCTAAATAGATTTGCAGCTGCCTATAATGATGTCTTTCACTTCTGAACAAGCAGAGTGTTCTTTATATGATTGATCTAATTGTTTAGCAGTGACTTCATGGTTTAACGTGATTTAATTGACCTGATTTCTCTCTATTGATTTTGTACATATATAAATAACAGCATTGCAATGGAAATGCAATGTGAATGAGACGTTTTAGAATTTTTAATCAGCAGTATTTTGGCTTAGAATAAAATATATTTTTCGTATGGATTAATGTAATAAAATGGGCCTGACCTTTAAGTCTGATCCGTCAAGAGATAGTCCAAGCAGGGTTCCAACAGTTGGCAGTCTTTTACTGTGTATAAAGTTTTGTTTAAATTTTTAAGATTTCACTGTGATTTCTATGGCTTTGACTTAGTTTTACATTTAGCCATTTCTAATTTTGTTCTAACCTTCTTTGTGGCTTCTGGGTGAAACCACTACAAAAATCCAAGGAAAATAGATCACTCTTCCTGCCCATGGAAATGTACTACGGCTGGAAGAGATTGAATCTTAAGCAATCAGTTTGCTAAAACTTTTGCATGACCTTGCATTATATTGTGATATAAGTATTTTTTTGCATCACTCATTACTTGGTAGAACTACAATCAAAATGTGCCTTCTGAAGGCATACTAATACAAATGCTGTTGTTTTTCATGATGTCTTTTATCTCATGGTATAATATTTAACTACTAAAATACTTAACAATCATTAATATGAATAAATGCCTTTGTTACCTTTAACATCTAGAGGCTATATCATTAACCAGATACACATCAAATGCTGAATACGTATCTTTAAATACCTTCTGTATATTAATTTAAAATACAATACAAAGCCCAGGTTTTATACATGCAAAGCCTGAGATTTCTGTGGATCATATTTGTCTCACATGATTTTATTTTTTTCCTGCTTATTGAACTGTTACCAGTGGAGGAATCAGTAATTTCTATATACTTTTTGTACAATTAGATCTTGTGCATAGATGTTTATGCCATTGTTAGTAGTGGCATCAGTTTGGCTCCAACTTTTCATATTACTGAAATATTCTATCCTTTCACAGAAGATAACCTATGTCTATGGAATTCACACTTTTTTCTGAAACCTTGCCAGTCTTGCTTTTGGTCAGTGTTGCCAAGATTTGTAAGTGAAAGTCCCGAGTTTAAATATCCATACTTCAGCATCAGAAACCCTTTGTAGGAATGGCTGCATTTTTTGTAGTTTTACTTTCAAAATATTCTTTTGAAGTAAAAATGTTTGAAGTAATGCTTATATTGTGAAAGTCCTCTATGATACAGATTCCATTTTCCTACATTTCAAATTGATTGTATCTTGGAAACCTCAAGATGTTTTACAATGCTGGAGAAATAAATCCTCAAAGGCAATATAAATCTTATTTCCTAAGACAGCTACCTGAACAGGATAACAGAATTCAAGCTTTTCCACTTGAATTCTGAAGAAAGGGACTGCTCATCATGCTTTTCCGCCCCTTGTCACTTCCTAGTTTATAACCACCCTCTGATTTTCGATGTTCTTTGCAAGGTACTGATGTTAACAGTTGTGATTTCTGCAGGAGTTTCAGTGCAAGGAGGCAAGCTCTCCAGGGAGTACACCTCTTTTTTCACTTGCAGATTTCCAGAGAAAAAAAATGATTTTAACTACAGCTCTAGTCAAATGCATTTCATATGTAGCAGTCTTGGCAAACAAATGACCAGGAAGAGGAAAGCAACAGTTCCTTGACTACTTTTCCCCCACCACCTACTCTTTTTATTGAGCCTTTGCTTCCCTTTTGTATCAGAAAGGACAATTTTTCACCTGGAGGATAACCTAGCAAAAAGACATATACTTGGAAATAATTTTTATGAAGTGTATCAGTGAAATGATAATACTAATGGTTGGTTTCTAAGCTGCATGTGAATTTAAAACATTTGCAGGTGAAACAGTAGCAAGTTTTGCAAAGGAACCGTAACAAAATAATATTTAATTGGTGTAACAGTTGTAAGACTGGGAGTAAGGAATTCTTTTGCTTCCCTGGTAAGTACTGTTTGAGTAAAAGTCTGCAATTCTCTCAAGAGAAGAATGCTGTTTAAGTAAAAAAATTATTATTTCTCACTTAATAAGGAACTCTTTGTTCAATAAGACTAAAAAAAAACCTAATTTGCTCCTACAAGATTGATCATGTCTGCAATACTGAATGTATTTCTTCATAGGAAAAAAAAGTTGATTTTGCTGTTTTTAAAAAATGACTGTTAGATCCACCAAAAAGGTCTCCACCTTAAAATCACTTGAGTATGCCACTTAGCATACAATTTTTTATAGTCTTTAAAGTGCTTGATAATACCATAAAGTTTTAACCTTCATTTTATTGGTACCTGTTACTTTGCGTGTTATGTGTTTAAAACCAATGAAAAGATTTTTCATGAATCACATGAATTTTTATGTTACTGTTCACATAAAAAAGCCTTATTATATCTTTTAGTAGCAGGATTTTGTGTATGAATTATGTAATTGTCAGTATGCATTTTTTTGAACTGTAGTTTCTGGACCAGAAAACCATGTTTAAGTCACTCTGGGCATTAAAATTAAATGGGTAAATTACTTGACTGCATCAACTGGCAGGGTCATCCTGCAGCAGAATACAGAGTTGTGAAATGAAGTATTAGTATATCTTTAATTTTGAAGCAGTGTAAAAGTTATTCAAAGGGGATTTTTTATTTACTTTAGTTTTAACCTGGTAAGTGAACAAAAACTGAGAAATCAAAATGTGGAAGGTTTAAAATACTCTATCAACAACCAAAAGTTGCACAGACATTTCAGTTTTTATGCAGAAGAAGTAAAGCTTGATGAAAGACTTTTTAGCCACAAAAATGAGTCACCTTAATTAAGATTACTAACCTTTTCAGTATCTTGTACTTCTCTGAAGCACTTTTTAAGTTTCAAAAAATCTAGCTTCCTCCAAGGCAGTTCAAAGAAATCACAGAAATTTCTCAAACAAAAATCTGATGCCAAATAAAGTTTGCAATTTGACCAGGCCTGTCATGTTAATGCCAATGAAAAACAATGGGTAAAGCAGGCCTCTCATTGAAAGGGAGTCAGTACTGCTCTACAAATAAGAAACAATTGCTTTAGAAAGTTTTAGAATGTTTGTAGATAGTTTCATTTGGGAATTCTTCTCTCAGACCAAAATATGAGACCCTGAGATGAGTTCGGTTGGTTAGAGGATGGTGCTAATAATGCCAAGATTGTGGATTTCATCCCTGTACAGGCCATTCACTTCAGAGTTGGACTCGGTGATCCTTGTGGGTCCCTTCCAGCTCAGAATGTTCTGTGATTCTGTGAAATATCTTGGTTTTTTCCTCCTCTAAAAAGCACTAGCCAAACACAGTTGAATGCTGACTTTCATGACAGCTTGGCAAATGGCACCAGTCAGCAACAATTAAAATGATGCAAACCAATAAAATTATGCAATAAGGAAAGCTAGGGATGGTAATAGATAATGATAATCAGTATTAACATATTGATCCAAACAGTCCACAGGACATCCACAGGAGCTGTGCCTGCCCATTCCCAGCAGGGCACAGCAGAGGGGCGGTGTGAGGCTGGGGAAACCGCTCTGGGACCTATCTCCATTCCTTCCCTCAAGGTGTCTGCCCCACCCAGGCACTCACCTTCTTACCACCCAGGGCCTCAAAGTGGCTCCGCAGTTCTTCCACAGTGACGGGGACGTGCTCCATCATCTGAGAGCTACCTGAGGTCTCCTCCTTGGCCACGTCCAGCCTCCTGCTGTCTGATGGCACCTTCTCCAGGGTGTTGCTGCAGCTGATCTTATCTGGCACCAGGGATGATGGAGCTGGTGAGTACCGGAGCATCAGGCCAGGTCTTGTAGCATTGGTGGACTCCCATCTCTGCTTGAGGAGCTCCACGGAGCCCTTCTGCAGGGGCAGGTCTGCCAGCTCCAGCGTGCCCTGCCAATGAAACGTGGACCTGGGGTCAATGGCCAGTGGCACAATGCCAACAAAGGCCACCACGGAGTGGCTCAAGAGCCCTTGTGGGTTGCAGGCTGGTTGCTGGGACAGATACCCCTTCCCAATGGAATGCGACTTCCAGTAAGACCAGATCCAGTAAGAGTCAGTGAAAGGGTTCAGCGTGTTCATATAAGAGGAATATGTTCATTATAGAATGAATTAAGGGTGATGTTCAGACATTTTATTCTTAGGCTTGACAACAGAATTGCTGTCTATCATGAATGGAAAAGCAGCAAGCACACAATTAGGGAGAATTCCAAACAAAGTGGGGTTAATGAATGAGTGCCTGGTAATCAGCATGTGCTGCATGAAAGGTGTTGTGACAGGTGACTGCTGTTTTCTTTTAGATTGATACAGCTGTCTGTATTGTGGAATGAGTCACAGCATTTTAATGCAGCCAGGAGACAGAAGGGCTACTGCATTAGCTGAGAGAGTACTTGGATAGTCTGGAAACACAACCCAGGGCAGTTCTGCTAATTGCACTGTAACTCTTCTGTCAGGTAAATTGCTAAGTGTTGACATCAAATCTTTCTGATCAGTTGGCTGTGTTCTCACAAAGGCTTATTCCATCTTTCTTACAGTACGCTTGGGAAGGAAAATTGCCATTCTGTCATTTTGCACCAGTTGCTGATATCTGCTCCTCTTTTCCTGAAATCAGCTCCCAAGTGGTTTGATTTTGAGCTTTTCTGCCCTGTAGCAAATACTCAAATGTAAGTTTTTACCTCTCATTCAAAAGGAAATTTGAGTAAAAAGAATATGAATTTAAAACAGTAAAGAAAAAGAAATGTTAAAAAGGACTGAGACCCAGCTAGTAACTAAAATCTTAATTCATTAGTACCTTCCTTCTTGGAAAGAGATTCTTGTATGTGTGCAACTGTCCTACTTCAAGTGAGTGTGCTTTTCCTAATTCAGGTGAGTGTGTCTATGCAATATCCATATTCTCCTATGTTTTGCTTCACTGATAGTGTGTCCTTTTGTTGGTGTTAGTGATTTTCAGGATATGTGTTATGCCATCTTTCAAAAATAGTCTGGAGTTCACCTCCTTCTCTCTCGCAGAAGCAAAGTAGCTTCTTTGACCCTTGTCTATTTTGGGACCTATAGCTGATAGATGACAGATAAAATGAACATGTTTGTTTTGATTGCATGATGTGTTGGCTGACGTGAAATTGTGTGGAGATTCAGTAATTTCTAAAGTTGGTGGTTTGCTGTGCTTCCCCCCCTCCCCCACAAAATAGAGATTTGGTTGCAACATCTTCATTTGTGTCAGGAATAAGTTTGGTGTGTCCTAGATGTCATTTGAGGTTTTCGCATTTTATTACTGGTGTTGCTGATCTTCACAGAATCACACAGAATCACAGAATATGCAGAGTTGGAAAGGACCCACAAGGATCATTGAGTCCAACCCTTAGCCTAGCACAGGACCATACCTGAGAGTATTGTCCAAACACTTCTTGAACTCTATCAGGCTTGGTGCTGTGATCACTTCCCTAGGGACCCTGTTCCAGTGGCCAACCACCCTCCAGGTGAAGAACCTTTTTCTAATATCCAGCCTAAACCACCCCAGACACAACTTCAGGCCATTCCCTTGGGTCCTGTCACTGGTCACCACAGAGAAGAGATCAGTGCCTGCCTCTCCTCTTCCCTTCACAACAAAGTTGTAACTGCAATGAGGTCTCCCCTCAGTTTCCTCTTCTCCAGGCTTAAAAGAATAAGTGACCTCAGCCACTCTGCAGGGAGCCTTGTCCTCCTGTTTTCTTTGGTTTGGAGACTCAAGTGTGCTTCTGTGGCCAAAACTGATGTGTTGGAGAGGAACATTGCAGTAAGAAAAAATTAAGTTAGCTAGTGAGTAGTCATTCTGTCAGAAATGGATGGTGGAATTTTTGTAAGGGAACTACCTAAAATGCTATATAACATTCAAAAGTAGGTCTTTGTGAATGCCAGCTATAAATATTTTGCATTAATGTGTTTGTTTTATGAGACCAGTGATAGTACAGCATTCAAACACTGCAGTCAAACTGTAGGATTTCCTTTTTTGTATTTCTTCTCTGGGATCTTTTGTATCTCGCTCCCCCTGATTTTAAAAGAGGCCTATGGTAATTCTTCATTGCATGTAATAAATGTATCCTTTTCCTGAGCAAACAGCTATGGAAAGGCCTGTAGATTTTTTGCACTCATGAGTTGCAGACATCAGTAAATTTCAGGGGTTTTTTTAAATCTGAAGTTGCTGGTAAATCTGTCTTCACAGTAGGATCATTGAAATGGTATTCTTTTTCTTGCACTTTAAATGAGATAAGCCCTCTTCTACAATTCACAGACTGTGTATTCAATTGGTAGGTGAACATATGCATGCAAGGAAAGAGCTGTTGAGGAAAACTGTATGTTCTGCTGTATGTTCCTTTGCCAAAATGGCTATCTGAATTTTCATCATATTCTTGATATCTTAAATTTTTCTTACATGTAAACTCTTTCATTTGTTCACTAGCAAAGCAGTAAACAGAAATTGAAAAAATAGTAAACTGATACAGTTTACTTGTAGAGCTATATGTGAATACTGTTGCTTGTATCCCCATCATGCATATTGTACTGGTGAGTCCTCTCCTAACATTAGGAAACAGTCTGTTGTAAAATAGCTGCTTTTTGCCACTGCCTATTCGTCTGGATTCCCTTCTCAATTAAAATAAACAGACAAAAAGCCCAACACAACAAACCACAACACAAAAAAACCCTTCACACGAAAAACCCCCAAAATCTTTCAGGGACAGGATTTGATAAGTCCTTCCATGATCTGCCATCCTACTTCATCCAACTTTTGCCTCTGAGACTTCCCTTCCTATCCTACCATGATTCCAGGTAATCTGCACTGTCAAGAGTCCCTGGCATGAGGCTCCATAGGCCATCTTAGGATAAATTATGAGAGAAAGAACAACATGTTGAGAATGAAGACTAGATCTCATTCAACCCAATGTTTTTTGCAAACCACTGAAGAACAGCCCTTAGGATCCAGAGGAAGCTACAGAACAAAAAGCAACTGACCCCTTAGTTTATGGCAATGCTGGGAAGGGAGGCAGGGAGATGAAAGAGGAGACCAGTAGCTGCATAAGCTCTCCTCTAAATCTAGTCAAGAACAGAATAAAATAGTTCAGTTGGAAGGGATCTGGAGCAATCATCTCGTCCAACTGCAATATTCACTGGCCACATTACTAAATCTATTTTGTGCTAAGGACTCTTTATATCTGCACATGACAGGTAGCCTCATGCTTTTGACACCATTACTTGAAGCTTGCAGTTTCTTCTGCAGGTAAGTAGAGCCTCCAGTATCTGTAACATTTCATTTACATTTCAGACACTTCTTAACAAAAGCACCTCAAACAAGTTTATAAAGAGCTAAAATAGTTCTTGATTGCTAGAACATATAAAGCACTTCCAGATTCCTAGTCATATTTTGAGAAAATACATTATTTGGGGCTATCATTTCACATGCCAACTTTTATCCCGATACAAATACGGATAGCTAAATAATAAAACTTTAAGAAATGTTGTTTCAACTCTGAATTATGACAGACCCTGTTCTAGCAAATATAACAAGGTTTTGGTATTTTAAGGTAAATCACACTGAAACAGCAATTCTCATAACTTACCAACAAAATCAACACATTTTATCATCTAATAAGAGAGGACTAGAAAGTGCATTATTTGTATTTGTGGGATTGAGGAAAGACTTGTTTATTATTTTTCCTCTTGCCCCACCATTCCCAATTATTACATAAGCAGTATCAGGCCTCACACTAGAAAGCCTATTTACAGAAAGAAAAAAAAAGACAAAAAAAGAAAAGCATAAATAGCGTATTTGTACGGAGCTTATCTCACCACTGTGTTCTTCTCAGGCAAGTTTTCCGGTTGTGACTCCACTGCATTCATTGTGTGCCTGTTTAAAGGAAGACAATTTTAAACATTCTCTTAATTCATTGGTCTCATTTGACTAACGAACATGAAGCTTGGTAGACACACGTCTGATAGTAGTTACGAGACACCAAATCTCTTACGTGCTTGCGTTGCCAATGTATTATTTAGTGAGGCATGGAGGTAAAGTATGCTTTCTGCCATACCTCTGGCTGTGCTGTGTGTGCTCACCTTACACTGCTTAGCAGTGGCAAAGGCTGGAGGCAACAGCTTTTGTTTCAGTGTTCTTTGGCAGGAAACAAAGCACCTTCCAGTAAAAAATTGCTGGTTCTTAACTACTTAAGAAAGGTTTCGGTAAAAATTATGATTGGTAAATCATAATTTAAAAAGGATAAGAAAGTACATTCATATCATTCAGGCCATGTAAAGATACCACATTCCAATGCAGCTGACTTTCTTGCAATAAGCATAATTGCTTTTCAGTAGTTTCATTGTAGACCAAAAGTACATATTATAAATCATACAGGAAAAAGGTTAGGATTTTCAAAGATTTTCATCTACTATGTTACGGAACTGTTACTTTTGCTTTTTTCTCCCTTCCTGCCTCAATTCACATCTGTCCCAATCACACATCATCAGCTGAAGGCTGCAGTCAGCAGGTGCTGCCTGCTGACCTTTACATACCTCACCACTATGGGCAAAAACATCCAAATTCTGGGATTTCTGGGCCACTGTCCCCACAGGCAGGCATATGCATCTCAACACTGCCAACCTAGCCTCCCAGAACTCTTTTTCCAAGAACACCAGCAAGGACGATGCATGCAGGGACAGAACACGTTCTGTAACCTCTCCCCAAATGACTAGGTGTTCTTAGGGACATATTTTTGGGGTGGACTATTCAGTAGATAATAAAAGTACCCAGACATAGGCAGCACTTCTTTTTCATCATCACTCTCGACTACTTGGCTAACTTCAGCTTCTCTCACGTAGCCAGCTGGGCAAAAGTAAGTGTTCAGTCAGCTTTGGCATGCCATACTTGGTTTTCTTTGATTTACACTTGTTTTTCTTTCTCTCTTTCTTTAGTATAATTAAAACTTTTCTGACTTTCAGGCTAAAGCTCTTTGTGCAATAGAAGTTTAAAGGACTCTTCAGCCAAGTGCAGGGTACACTAAGGGTACCCTTTCGTTTCCACTCGTGCCACATGTTTTGTAAGTCATAAAAATTACATGAAATCTTACTTCAAAAACAAAAGGCCATGAAATGCACAAAATAATGAATGCATTTAAAATACCTATGCAACTCTTTTGTTTTTTCCCCCTTACCTTTAAAGCAGTAACAAAGCTTATACTGGAAAAAAACTTACCATGCTGCAAGTTGATTATATGTGACTAATGCTTCTAACATTTAATGAGAGGTGGTAAAATCTGTGTGCAGAATCTCCTCTATTCTGCCCTTGACAGTTATTTTTATTTCTGTGTAGCTGCTATACAGAATTGCCAAATCACTGTGCAGGCTTTTTCCCTCTTTCAAGTTTAATCATGGCTAAATGACTGCAAGACAACAGGGCCTTGTTTCATGTGTTTTAAACCGAAGGGTCAGAAAGCTCATGGCAAATATTGCTGAGCATGAAATCCCTGTTCTGAGACTCATCCATCTCATTGCTACACCTCCATAATTTCCACCCACTCCCCTAGGTCTATCCTTGTGAACTGGTAGAATGCTCATATATACTTGTAAAGCTCTGAATAGTCTAACTGCTGTAACTATAGAGGAATTTATTGCATTTAGTTTTGCCTAAGAAAATCTATTT